TCCTGAGCAGACACATTATAAAAACAAAGAGGTGCTGCTCTCTGGGCAGAGGGGCGGTGGCCCAATACTGCCTGTCTTGCTGGCAGGGTGGGAGCAGACTCCTCTTCCCCTGACTGTGCTGCACACATGTACCCAGCCCCAAAGCCATGCAGCAATAATTCCAAGTTCTCAAGTCGGACCAAAGAAATTGCTCTTGCCCATGCTCTGCACCTGAAACTCAGGCTCCCAAGATCACAAGGGCTGAAAAAGGGCAAAGCCTCTTACAATGAGGCAAACCCAGCCCCCAGCTTCAGAGAAATGAGCTTCCCCAACTCCCAGGCCATGACAGCTCGGAGACAGAAGCAAAAGCTGAGTGCCAAGCAACTTGTGACATGGTGATGTGCAGCTGTAGGCTCAGGCAGCTCCTTCTGGGGACAGTCTCAACCGAGAAGTGCCCTGTGGCTTGCTGCCTGCCACAATACCTCTCCTCGGTCCTGGGAGAGCATCAAGAGCTGCTCCGGCCCTGCTCTTTCCCAAACAGCCCAAGTCCTGGGAGGGCAAAGCACCACCCAGGTCCCGTGCTGTGAACGGACAACATCCTTGCAGGCCTGTGTGCTGCAGTGTGCCTACCAGTGCTGAAGCTAGCTCATCCTGGATGAGCACACTTTTCCTTCTTGTTGTCCCTCCTTGTGGGAATCTCCCTTGCAAGGAGATGTATACGTGATGTATAACATGTATAAGGCTTTACTTACCCCAGGGCTTCCACAAGCTGCAGCACAGTCCAACTTCCATCTTTCACCCCTGCAGAAAGGAGGCAAAGAGAGTGAAGCAAAAAGACTCCTAGACCGTCAGTAACGCACGGCACTGGAGACAGATGCCAGGAACGGCCCCAGCACCAGAGCAGGAAAGGCTGGCTGGGTGCCGGCACCTCACTAAGCACCGAAGGAGCCATGTGCGCTCAGTTGGTGGAGCTGCCTCCAGCCCTGCCTGCAAACATGTCTGGGACTGAGAGCTGCCTTGACTGGATCAGATCTGAGAGCTGGCAGCAAGGGGTGAACATGCCTGCACTTTGCCTCTGCCCTCTCGCCACAGCCTGGCTCCATCTGTGACCAATGCGTGGCTCCTGAGAAGCAGCCTTGCTGTGCTCCACTTTGCTGAGATGCCAAAAAATGCTTCTCTAATGTGAGCAAGCCAGGAGGAGACAGAGGGCAGCTCCCCAGATGCTTCCCGAGGGAGAACTGGCCAAGCAAACAGCCCAGACACGAGTGATCACATGGCTTCCCACTTTGGCTCTGCCACCTCCATGCTATGCTGAGCAAGACCTGCACAAGACTCCCTCCAAGATGGAGGGCAGGGAGAAAGGCGGCTTTGTGGTCAGAGGAAGACGAAGTGTTGGGACTCCTGGAGTCTATTACCAGCTCTGACTCAGATACCCCACCAGGTTGCCTCACTCACCTCCTGCCTCAATATTCTTGCAAATCAACTGGGGGAAGAGTCACTCCTTGGGAGGCTTTGGTAAGGACCCGCTGCATCCTACAAGAGCCTTGGCAGAAGGGCAGGTTCTCCACTCCCACCACCCACTGCCAACACGACACCTTCCCAGTAGGAAAGCTCTGTGCATGCCCTGTGGTCAGACATGGGGTGGGGGGCAAGGGACTGCCTTACCTTCAGCCCTCTAACCTGCAGCTTAGGTGGCAAGGGATATTGCTGGGAAACAAGCAGCACCCCTCACTCTCTACCTGGACAAAACAGCTTTCCTCCACAAAGAAAGCACCCTTCAGTCACCGAGACTCACTGTCTTTGCCCAGGAGCACTTCTGGGCACTCCGGAGGGCCCTGTTCATCCCTCTGCCCTGCTGAAGTCTTGCCTACACGACTGACAGGGCACCCACCTGCTCAGAAGCCTAAAGGTTTCATTTGGGGTTTTCCCAGGCCTTATCTCAGCTAGTGTCTCCTGCTGTTTCTAGCGTTTACTGGCTCTTCCTAAGCAGTTAATTCCACTATTAAGTCATGCTGCTCATCAGAGAGTGGTCTCTGGGGATGGGACAAGGGATGACTGTTTTCTGACAGCAGGCAGCCCCGACTCCAGACATAGAGCTTCCAGTCCCGCTTGGCACAGCAGGGAGAGGGAGCCTGGACTGAGGGACAGAACAGATAAGGGGAGCTGCAAGGAAGAAGAGGAGCCCAGCAGGTCGCAGACTCAACAACCACAGACTGAACAGGGGGTGCCTTGAGCGACAGCTGTAAGGTGCTGGCAATATCTCTTGCAGAACAACAGTGCAACAGCAAGCGGCTGCTGTGCACCAGCACATAGCAAGAGTGGGCTGCCAGGAGAGCTCATACGGTCCCTTCACACCCAGTATCCCAACATCCTGCTCTGTAAGCTCATGAAAAGCCTTCGTGCCTCTGAACCACTGTGGAGAAGGTCTGAGACAAACGCTGTCTCTGCGGCCAAGCACTCTGCCTCTTTGTGTTTTCAGAGACTGAAAGCAGTGTCTACACAAAGCTGCTGGTTTCCTAATCAGCAGGAAAGAGCTGAAGTGTAATGGTCAAACCACAATCGGCTATTGATACTCCCCGCGGTTAGCAGCCCCTTCGCTCGCTACAGTGAGAGAACTCACTCTGTTCTCAGGGACCTGGGGGTGCGACCAGCTTTGCCTTGCGTGGAGCGACCACACCAGCCCCGACAGCGCAACCTCTGAGTGCTCCCTCCTGCTTGCAGGCACAGCTGCGCAGGCCACGGCTTAAGCGCAAGCACAGCTATAATTGGACCTGCCTCATCAGCACGGCAGGCACAGTGGCAAGCCTGTGGAACTTCTGCCTCCACATCTGGCAGCAGCAAGTTCCCAAGGTTAATTACACACCTTGAATCCCAGCACTCCCTTACCAGGAGGGGCTGCCTTCCTATTCTGGTGTTCCTGTAGTCCCAGAGGCTAAACAGAAGCAAGCCATTTACCCTTGCTGTATTATTACTTGGAATCAATCTGCTCCCTTTCCTAACACATCTGTCCCCCTTTCATGCCGTGTCCTTCTAGACATTAATCACTTCTGCAGGCTTTCCATTCTTGTCTCCCCCACACCCTCAAAATGCGAGCACAGCATTCACAGGGAGCGTGTGATAGATTTCTGTAACAGCAGTATCCTTCTCCCCCTATCTTTTAAAAAAAATTAGTTCATCCTCCTCCTGCCACCCACTGACCCGTACAGCCCAAGCTGCCTGCGACAGCACCGAGGCCTTTCTTCCACTTGCCAAGTTACACTCAATTTAGTACTCAGCAACACATGGGAAAGCTCAATGCATTTTTTCCAACAATTGCACAATGGCCACAAGGTTAGAAAAAAACTCCCCTTTCGCTCAAGGATACATGATGCAATTTAATACTTTCTGATGTGTGATTCTATATGAGGTCAGAGGGGCCAAAGGACACTTGCTGGCTCCCTCACTTGTCAAAGTAGGTTTGTCACAAGCACCATATGGCTGACGAGAGCTGGGGGGGGTGGCGGAGGTGGCTCTTTCTCTTTATATGTCTTCAAAGAGACAAAGCTTTCTCTGGGCACTTCTGTAACATGACCATAGATGACAACAGCAGTTGTAAGGTTATCTTTCCCCCAGTCTATCCCAAATATGTCGGAGGTTTAGTACAACTCTTTTGCAACATCTTGAATGTCACATAGTTTAGTGAATTCCTCCTAATTCCCTTGGCATTTTCTTCACCCTGTGTTACATGGACCACTGGGTTACCTTCCCGTTTTGCCAGCTCATCTCATCACCAAGATACCACGGATCAGTTCACAACCCATCAGCCTTGGGAAAGGTCTATAAGGTACCCTTCTGTGTAACATAACCTATGTAGTCCTCTGCTCTCTCAACTCCTTTCCAAAGTGCGCTGAAGCCACTGCCTAGAAACACAAACATGCCACCTTATCCTTAGAAAGCCGCACTCCTGAAGCTGCAAATTCCCTAATATAACAAAGTCACAAAGTTGTTGCTCCAAGCAGATAGACAATTTATCCAAGGAAACCAAATGCCTCAAGCCCTGCCAGGAAAGGAGGAGAAACCACAGTGAGGGCAGTCAGAGCTCGTCCCAGAAGCAGGGGCCAGGAAAGCCAGCACATCAGTCAGCTCCCACAGCATCTCAGCAAGACCAGGAACCCCCCTCCCACTGGAGCCTTCTCTACCACCCAGCCAACCATACCCCGTACCACCCACAGCAGCCCCCACTGCACCCCAAACCTCCAGTACCGGCGCCTGGAGCCTCGTGCTCCCATCAGCTCACACATACCATGCCACTCCTCCCACCCGGAAGCCCCATTCCCCATTCCAGGCCAGTCCCTGGCACCACCAGCAGGCCCAACACACATTTAATCCCACCCCATGCTCTAGACCCACCATCTAAAACACTGACCCGCCCCACAGACCCCACAGCTCTGCCTTCACCCAGCTCCCAACAGCCCCCCACCTACCCACACCCACCTCGGCCTCGTTCCTAGAGCCCCCTCACCCTAGCTGCTGCCCCACGCCTACCCCATTGCCCCCCACCCCCTCTTTCAGTGCCCAGCTCACGGCTGCAGGCCCTGCCCATTCCCCCATGCCCTGCCCCACAGCCACGCTCCGCACCGCAGCCTCATGCCCCGGCCCCACGACCCATGGCCACGCTCAGTCGCTCGGTCCCTCGCCCCCACACCTTGCCCTGCCCTGCCCCACGGCCTTCCCCACGCCCTCCCCCATTCTGCATCCTAAGCCCTGCCCCACAGCCGTGCCTATGTCCTGCCCCGCATCCCCACAGCCAGTCCCACGCTCACCCTCAAAGCTCACCCCACAGCCCCACGAC